CATCTCACGTAACTATGCACTTAATATTATAAATTTTAAATTAATAAAAAATTAAATATGAAATTGATGCATAAAATTATATTAAAAAGTATTTAAAAAATTATACGTCAATTATTTTCCTTCCTGGATTTTACTTTTTTACCGAACACTTTCCTTCAAATACGCCATCATGCTCCCTTTCACTCCAATCACATTCTGCCAGAAAAGATGGAAGTCTGGTTCATCATCCTCATCACAGTCTCCGTTGCGCTACTCCTTAGAGCGCTCCTCAACCTCCTCTTTCCGACAAAATCGCCCGCCCACTCTCTCCCTCCCGGTCCCTCCACCATCCCCATCGTCGGCCCCTTCCTATGGCTCCTCAAACTCACGTCCACCTCCGAGATGGAACTGATTCTCCGCAAACTCCACCCAAAGTTCGGCCCAATGGTCACCCTCAATATCGGGTCTCGCCCTGCCATCTTCGTCGCCGACCGCTCCCTCGCCCACCAGGCCTTGGTCCAGAACGGTGCCGTTTTCTCCGACCGACCTAAACCTGTCCCAACCAGTAAGATTCTGGGTAGCAGTCAGCACAACATCAGTTCTACCGCCTATGGTCCTACCTGGCGACTTCTGCGACGGAATCTGACTGCCGAAATCCTTCACCCTTCGCGCATAAAGTCCTACTCCCACGCCCGCAAATGGGTATTACAAATTCTTTTGGATTCTTTAGGTTCAGTGTCCAAATCTGGAGCACCAATTCGGGTACTGGTTCATTTCCGGTATGCTATGTTTTGCTTATTGGTACTGATGTGCTTCGGTGACAAGCTTAACCAAGAGCAGATCAAACAGATTGAGGATGTTCAGCGTTCTTTACTCTTGTCTTTTGGAAGATTCAGTGTACTGAATTTTTGGCCCAGGATAACGAGGATTTTGTTTCGAAAGAAGTGGAAGGAATTCCTTAATATTCGAAAATATCAAGAAGAAGTATTGATTCGTCTGATACGTTCGCGAAAGCAAATCAGAGAAGAAAGACTCAGGAAAAATATGGAGGATATCAAACAAGAGGACGAGTTTGTGTTGGCTTATGTTGATACGTTGTTAGATCTTCAGCCACCGGAAGAGAAGAGGAAGCTTAATGAAGGGGAAATGGTTACTTTATGCTCGGAATTCCTCAACGCCGGCACGGATACGACCACCACCGCCCTGCAATGGATTATGGCAAATTTGGTAAAATACCCAGACATTCAAGAGAAGCTATTCAAGGAGATTGAAGGGGTTGTGAGAGAAGGAGCAGAAGAGGTCGAAGAAGATGATTTGCAAAAGATGCCTTACTTGAAGGCTGTGCTCTTAGAAGGTTTAAGGCGACACCCACCAGCTCACTTTGTGTTGGCTCACAGGGTGACAGAGGATACAGTTCTTGATGGTTATTTGGTGCCCAAGGAGGGTAGCATCAATTTCATGGTAGCTGAACTGGGGTGGGATCCAAAAGTGTGGGAGGATCCAATGGCATTCAAGCCTGAGAGGTTCCTGAGCAGTGATGACAGAGGTGGTCCGGAAATGTTCGACATAACTGGAAGTAGGGAAATCAAGATGATGCCATTTGGAGCAGGAAGGAGAATTTGCCCAGGGCTCGGATTAGCTATGCTTCACTTGGAGTATTTTGTGGCAAATTTGGTCTGGAAGTTTGAATGGAAGGCTGTGGAAGGAGATGAGGTTAACTTGGAAGAGAAGCAGGAATTCACAATTGTGATGAAATATCCATTGCAGGCCCACATTTCTCCAAGGAAATGAGAAAGACTTTAATTTTCTGTACATGTAATACATGTCGCGTTTTAGTATTTGGATTAAGAAGAAAATGTTTTTCATGTTGGATTGTACTGTTGTTATATTACTAAAATTATTAAAACATCTTTAATAATATATTTTTTATGGTTATTTATTAAAAATAACTTAATAATTCTAATATTAAAATTATATATTTAATATATAATCTAAATTAAAATACAAGAATCTCTTTGGTTTAAGAGAGATTTTTGTTGTTACACTTGACCTTTCAAATCAAGTGGTTTTTGTACATTTAAGGTGCATCTCTTTATTTTTTTTAACGGATTCGAGTGGGTCGCATGACAACATTGTTTAAAGAAAGAAAAAAAAACGGGGGAGATCTTCGTTGTTACACTTGTGGTGTCTTTACAATGATGTGTACATTTTTCAACCTAAAATTAGAATAATTAATAGAATAGTATCCTTTATTGTTTCCAACTATAATATATATAATATGTTCTTAAAGTATGGCATCTGGGGTCATACTTCTCTTTCTAAGTATACAGATACTTTTAAGCCATGTTATCAATTCCATTCGTACCGGTCATACCAAATTTTTTATTAAATTGAAACGGTATTAGTTTAAAATTTATTTTGGCCAAATTTTGATTTTTTCAATTAAATTTTGATGTATTAACCTATATTTCATGTATCGATCGGAACACCGAAATGATGCCGGTGCAGCTCAAACCTGAAAAAAAGAAGACAAAAAAATAAATCAGCCCCTATACTTAGTGAATAGTGGCAAATCAGCCCTCTCAACTAAGAATAGACACAAATCAAGCCCTCAACTTATTATATAGTTACAAATCAACCCTTTTTTTTGTACAACTTACATTAAACACTTATCAGTTTGTAATGAAAATGTGCTTTTGGTGGGGTTGATTGATTATATGATAATAAGGTGGTATCTTACATCAATACTAAGTTGGCATTAAATTAGAAATTTATATTAAGATTTTTTTAAGTGTATTTATTAAATATTTTTATTATTAATTTATATAAAAAATAAAAAAATAAATTTTATTTTT